TGGAGTAGGTATGTGTTCATCTGGAGGAGGTGTGTGTTTATCTGGAGGAGGTGTGTGTTCACCTTGCGCTCGATCTCCTGTGCTTGGCTCCTCACTGTTTTTTCCAGCAGGGTCACCCGCTGCATCATGGCAGACATGAGCTCAAAGTCGCTTGGTGGAGCACCTGAATATCAGGGTATTACAGTACACACATCTTTTGCACTCTTAAACATGTATTTTTAAATATATTAAATGATTAGATTTAGGATAGATTTTCAGGTTGTTCAGAAACAAATAAAATAAGATATATTTGGCTTTGGAATAAACTAAAATAAATAACTTATACCTTTCTTTAATGGGGCTTTTGACTTTGAAGTTGAGGAGTCGTTGGGTCGAGTGTGAGAGGTCAGGAGAGGATGTGGATCAGAGGATTTATCATCCTCGTCAGTCAGGCCTGCCTGAATTTCTGAAAACAAACACAAAAATGTGTGTAAGGGATTAAGAAAGAGAACATATTCATGGTTTACCTGTTGGGGGAGCAGTTTGATATTAATAGTAGAAATCAGTTTGAGTAGCATGATAAGTACATTTACTGTATTTAAGGACAAATGTGAAGTATAATTGTACTTAACTTATATTACATTTTAATGCCACTTTATACTTTTACTCGACTACAACTATTTGACAGGTAGGCCGACTGTACAAATAAAGAGCTTATACAATATGATTCTCTGTTAAACTATCCAACAATATACACAATTAGATCTGAAACAATTAGTTGAGTTTAGTTAAATTAGTTAGTTGGTCAATTGACAGAAACTATTTGGATAATTTTATGGTTCCAGCTTGGCAAATGTGAGGATTTGCTGCTGTTCCTTTGTCATTATTCGATTTTATTTATTTTTTGTCCAACAGTTGGGAATCCTGCTTTTACCTTAATGCACGAGTAATAACAATCTAATAATATAATACAGTCGATTGTTTCTGCATTAAATACTTTTACTTTAATACTTTTAATTCACTTGTTGTATACTTGTAATGCATTATTTTACAGTGTGATGTTAGTACTTTTCCTCCACCACTGTTGATAACTGTTGTTTTAGTGCCCTGTCAGTGCAGTGTAATGCCTTTATGTTTAGTGATTTGACAAGCAACCCACCTTTTAACAGATTTCTCCTGAAAGGCACCTTTGGTCTGCCCCTGCAGGTCAAACACAGGTGAATGTAATGTATTATGAATAATGTATGTTGCCTGCACAGTGAAGTTAACATTGGGATATCCCCCAGTCAGTCACCTACCCTTGCTCACTCTGAGGGTCCAGCAGGGGAGTGCGCCTCGTTTTCTTCAGCATGGACAAAGGGGAGCTCATCTTACCTGAGGTGTCCCACTCTGGGTCCAGTACAGGCCTGTTCAGAGGGATTTCCCGAGTTTCTTTGAGTTTGTTTGGAGTCTGTTGCCATTAGCAACGCAGGGGCAGTTGAATGAGGAATGAAGCCTGCGTCTTCTATTTCAACCGCAGGAGGTCGCTGTTTCCACCTCTCTCTCTCTCTCCTCTCTCTCTCCTTTCTCTCCTTTCTCTCTCTCTCTCTCTCTCTCTCTCTCTCTTAGAGTGTATTATTATAAACATATAAACCTATTTTATACCGATTTTTTATGACTGTCATGCGACTTTTTTTTTTTAGTTATTGCAAGTAATAAGCATAAAAACAAGACATAAACAACAATTTGAATGGGACCAACTGATTAAATTATTGTGTATTTCATTCTGTGTTCTTTTTTTAATTGCTTTTGAAAAATGATACGGATATCCAAACTCGCATCGAGTGTAAAATGCTGTCCCCGTGCTTTCATGATCTACTGGTTTGGTGACTGTGGCACATTGATCCAGTCCCCTGCAGCCGCAGAGGGTCCGGTGCGGTGCAGCCATACTGTCCGCCCCAGCCTCGCTCTCTGTGGGAAGTGAGCGGGCATTCAGAGAGGATGCTGAGGCCTGCCAGTCCCGCAACACAAGCACCCGCAACCCGGGACTACTAGGCTGGTCCGGGCTATGGCTGCACCCATCGCACATTTCGATGAAGACTGGCCGATTGCGGGTGATTTGAGCATGGTGTCAGACCAGAGGCTGCTGGCGCACAAAGGCCGTGCAGCCTCCGCGGATGGTGAGGATGATATCCCCGAGCTGCACGACAGCAGCTTCTCCCCGGGGGAAACCGGTGCTTTCCAGTCCATGGAGGACCTGGTGAACGATTTTGAGGAGAAGTTGTCCTCCTGCTTTCACAATTATAACGCCAGGACGGAAAGTATCGCTCCTGTGAGTGAGATCACCGAGGACTGTCTGCTGGACAAAGACGAGTGAGTGTTTGTGTGTTTGTGAGTGTGTGTGTGTGTGTGTGGCCTGTGCGCAGGCTGCTTGTTTTTAATGATGGAGGATTCAGCTCACTGCGGTTTATAACTGAGACATGTTATCTGCAGTGGCACATCTCATCTTCCCGATCTGGAAGCCAACATTTCTTAGAGAGCGGTACATACATTGTCTATTAAAGGATATAGTGACAGTAACACACACACACACACACACACACTGCCACCATCTTTGGTCGTCAAAACTCAGACCAAACGTCTGTTTCCCCGCTGTAATATCAGGCGATTGACATGTAGGTTAAATTATTTACGGATTCAAACGAACAGGGGCTCTGATATCGGCATTATATCGGTATCTGCCCCTAAATGGCTTTAAAAAACTGCTATTGGCCCATCTGAGTGCACTGACAAGTCAGGTTTTTGTTTTTAGAGCCGATACTTGAAATCTGCACTTTACTACTTCTACAGATTTTTTTTTACTATGATCACTTTTATTGTATACACACACACATATTGTCTTTGTTTTAGATTGTATCTTATCTTTATGGATATTGTTATTGCACAAATACTCTATATGATGTTTATTTAGACCTCAGTCCATTAATCAATTAAGTTAGTTGATCATGTATCAGGTAAAAGCTTCTCAAATGTAAGAATTTTCCCCATAGTTTTAGATAATTGTAAATTAAATTGTTGGATTTGGGACTGTTGGTTGCATTAAAGCCATTTGAAGATGGGCTCTGGTATCATGATAGGCAATTTGTCGCAGTTCTTTGGTATTTTGTAGACTTATTTAATAATGCCTGAATCAAGAAAATAATAAGCAGATTAATCAATAATGAAAATAATTGTAAAATCATTTTAATGTAATATTATCCACATTTACTCAGTACTATGTGACTGTCAGTATCAGTAGACTAAATGCAAAACCTCATATTAGCACATTACAATTTTACAGTTTATTTGACAAACTGTGAAAAAAAGTCATATTCAACATGAAACATTGTGATGAGCACTAAACATGACTTCAGTGTTGAATTAGGAGGCACTGTGCTGCAGCGTTGGGCTTTTGTGGTGTCTTCAAATGTCATCATCGATGGCATTTTCAACTTGATAAACTCTGTTGGGATTATCATTTTTTTAACTTTCGCATCAAAACAGTTTAATCTGATTGTGACATTTGTGGATGTGACGTCTAAAAGTGTCTCTGCGGCACCCTTGTACATATAGTCATTACCACTGCCCCTGCTACAAATGTGGGTTTGTTTTCTACAAGTTGTTGTTAGTAAAGTACTCCCAGCAGTACTGCAGTATAATAAGGGTTAAAGGTGCCTTCATACTCTATAAGACACATATATACAGCAACATCCCTGGTTTGATCCCAGTTAAGGACTTTTGTTACATGCTATTCCCCGCTGTCTCTCTCCTCACATTTTCTGTATTTGTTGTTGCTATTGAATAATGATGAAAATGGCAAATAAAACAATCTTTTAAACAAAGCAATGGTAAAAATTGGTGACACAGAGGCTAAGATATCCTAGTTTTTAGTCCCTATATGGGTCAAACTCCCACAAACAAGGGATCATTCTTTTCCCAAAATACAATTCAATAGCATGTTTTGTTAGACTTGCTGGTAAATGCTCATGTCTTCAGGCCTTCTCTTAAACTTTCTGAATCCTGAAGGTCATTTTAGACATTAAACTTTCATTACTTTATTTATTTCCTTCCTCCACAGAATCTGGAACACTCTGACCAATAACTATGGCCGTGTGATGCCTGTGGACTGGAAACAGTCTCGAACATGCTCCCTACACATCCCCACATTCAACCTGGAGGAGAAACCCGTGAGTGATCCTACCCCTCCCATCCCATCTCTGTCCCACTTTCCCTTCAACCCCCTCTCTCCCTCCCTCCCTCCCTAATGACGTAATTTTAGAGGGCAGGAGGAATGGTGTACTTGTGGATCAGGTGCAAAAATAAAACTACATGACGCAATGCCGTTCATTGTAATGCAACGGAAGCATGTCCAGCCGCCAAATGCGAGCGGTGTTGGCTCATTAATGTGTTTTTGTTACAGCCAGATGAACCCCTTGGGAAGCCAGTTCATTTGTTACTTTTGTCTTTTCAATGGGAAATCAATCCCATTCAAGATAACCAAGAAATGGTATCCTTAAATCTCCTTAATGATTAAAACTTGTAGCTGGAATCCTTCACCTTTTTTAAGGGCCATTCTCAAAGTTTTAAAACCGACTTTATCCAAAACGAACCATATCGTAAGAGAAACAGGACATATTACTGAATTATTGTGTCCACCAATCAGTGGACACTGCCACTCCTTCTCGTAGCTGGGGCTGCTGGTGGACCGCTTGGACGTCCAGGGAGAGCATCGAGAGGTCCGACCCTGAGAGGGAATTGTGCGCTGCCCCATGTCATGGGGAGATCCTGCCATCAATCTCCCTCCTATCTACTCCAATAAGCGCTGCACAGAGGCACCATGCAGCACATCTAAGAGAGAAGCAGCACTTAAAAATAACCCGGTGAACATCAGTTATTAAATCATCCTGTGGGAAAGCAATAAATTGGGAGTTAAGCTGCTGCCTTGCCACCTGCCTTCCAACAGAAGGGGGGGGCGGGGGGGAGGGGGGGGTGCGGGCTGCCATGCAAGGGAGAAACTACAGCTGGAGGTTCAGCGTGGTAAGTTTTAAACCTGGCCTCCGTGCGTGAAAAGTGGTTCGCTCTGCGAGGCCCGGAAGAACGATGATGGAGTGGCATGTCCAGCTGCTCCCCCTCAGCTGCCTCGTCCGTCCGACAGCTCCGCGGTGACCATCAGTCTTTCTCTAGCCAGGAGCGAGAACAGGGGGAGGGAATTTAATCCAAGCGCTAAACCCTGGCACAAAATGAATCACCTTTGAGATTTGTGAGATGAAACGGAAAAGGAAGATTTGGGGAGGGAGG